GCCAGAAGGCTGTCTGACATGACTCTGCGAAGCTTTCGGTACTGGCGGCGCATGCACTGATCATCCAAATCAATGAATAAGCTCCTCACAATGACATTTGCCTCTTGCGCTTCCTTTGACTCCACGTCAGCCTCAAAGGTGCGCGGGGAAAGAGGTCGCGAAGAGCAGGTCTCGATCGTTTCAATGTCACTGTCCAGCATCGTGCTCTCGCCATCACTGTGGCTTTCTGGCTTCATCAGCATCTTGCTCATGTTGAGCAGGTCTAAAGTCCTACGAAGAATCTCTACAAAGGCAGAACTACCAGACCTGCTTTGGCTGGAAATGAGCTCAAAGAGCTGGCTTTACAGCACTGAAGTGCAACAAGAGGCAAGGATGTCGGCATGCAATATATGCATCCTCTGTTGCAATCTGTGCCCCCTTCATCAAGTAGATCACAATTTGACCAAAGTCCCTCACTGGATTTCAGTGAACTACTGTATTTTGAAGTGTTTGATTCATTTTTCCGATGTCTTCTCCAACTTGTTTCATCGTCCTTCTCTCTGTGCTTCTTCTCAAGCTTTTTCCTGACTGCTGCCAGAATTGTGATGGCTGCATTCTGTTGGAAAGGCAAGCATGCAAAGCCACAATTTTTTTTCTGGATCACGTTGCTGTTCATGCAAAAACAAAGGTGGGCTGGTGAACTTCATGTGGCCTCAACTTTTCTTCCTTCTTGTTTTTCTTGTCCTCAGAAAGCAAGAACACTTGAGGCATCTCTTTCTGCAGCATGTTGTCAGCCAAGGAACTACTTGATCTTGGTAGTTGATTTTCAGTCTTTGTACCACCTGGGAATCAGCCGGGTTGCAAAGAGACAAAACCACAGGCACCTGTATATGGGGACTGACTGGACTGCAGCCAAGAAACCTCCCACTGCTTCCTGAGGCAGGCTGAGCCCCATCCCCAACATTCATGAGCCACATACTGAGTTTGATGACTTGTCTGATTGGATTACCTCGCAATTCAAAATATTGCGGTAGCCCGCTTTTGCAAGCGTTACTGGATGCAGACCGTGTAGCAGGTTGGATTTTGCCTTTTGGTCTCGAATTGTCTATTTGAAGTTGCAAGCGTTGAGGACTGCAATGAGATAGCTTATGATAGCACGCCCTGTGAAATTTACTCAAAGACCCGCAGACAGACTAGAAACCCAATAGCGATGGCCGATGGCCCACACTGCTTTCTCAATGTCTCAAGGTCTGAAACCACGAAATATCCAATAGCGATGGCCTCCAGCCCAATAGCAAAAGGAACCTAAGTGCAATGGCCTCCAACCTAATAGCGATGGCCTCCCCCTACTAGCGATGGCCTCCAGCCTAGTAGCAATGGCCTCCTGATATCGTCTGCAGGTCCAAGCAGCTTGGTGAAAGCGTCAGCTGCAGTGGCAGTGCTGAGGCCCGCTTTTGAGGTGACACCATCAGCTGGCGCTGGCGCAGCTTCATCATCAGAGTCTGCAAAGGCATTGAAGCGAGGACCTGAGTAGGCCAACGGTGCCAATGGCAACTTTGGAGGTTATCTGCAAGCTCCCGAAGCGGCCAGAAAGATTGCAAAACCATACTACATTCACGTACATTCAGCACCTTCTCCCTGCAAGACTTCTGAAATCTGTCTTTGTGACCTCCAGCAGCTTTTGGCTTGGGTGCAGCCTTCTTCAGCTTCTTCTCCGAGGGGGAGGCATCAGACTGGGCAGAACAAAGCAGTATGTGCTAAAGCTGTCTGAGATTTGCCTTTTCGAGGACTCCGTCTGCCACTTTAAAAGCATGACTCCTTCATCGTCTGTTGTCATTCTGCTAGTCGCCTCCGATGATGAGCTGGAGCTCTTCTTTCTTTTCTTGCCCATGGCCCCACGCTGCACGAGGGACAGAAGCGTTTGAGCAAAACGGGCCAAACACGTTTGTGTACGGGTGCGAGTTGAACGTCTGCCAAGCAAAGCTGCCATCCTCGATGCCACTGATCTGGGGACTCATTCGCTTACACAATTCTAGTGGTTCAAACCACACAATGACAGGCATCGTTGCAATTCCCGGAATGCCCTGAAGTAGAATGCACTTGTTGCTCCATCGTCGAACGCAACAGGCCGGCTGCTTCCCCGCAGGCGGCGTAGGCCACGCGGACCGTGAAACGGGAGTCTCAAGCTCTCACGCTTCAAGCTGCTCTCGGCGTGTTTGCTCCTGAGAGACCGCCACAACTGTCATCTTTCAGTGCACCCAACCAGCAGATTCTTCCCCCCTCCAAAAGGAAACAGGCAGACTCCTTCTGTTCTGTCAGGTTTTGACATGTTTTGACTATAAAATTGATATTCATACTCTAACTACAGTACATCTATCTGCGGCCCAGAGTGTGTGTTACATTTTGGACATCCCGACCAAAAGCCCATCCAATTGGTGCTCTCCTCAATGACTCGCTTTGCTTCGGCACGAGGCACCTAGAGCTTGCACTGCAATTATGCTTTGAAACACCAAAGCCTAGTAACATGTAATATGTAGAGGCATCCTCTTTCACCAGTAGCGGTCGAAGCAAGGAAATAAGAAAGGCATGCGGATCCAAGCTCACTTGTGTGTGTGCGTGCATACTAAGTATGTGTTGTATACTTGTATACTATATTTATATATATATACACTCACGCTCTATATATATATATATATAACCATGTTGTGTGCGCGAACTTGTTTTAGCATATGTCATGTGCACAGAAGTAGTATACAGGAAGAGGGAGATCTTACAGGAAAAAAGGTTCATCCGATTCCGGTTGGCATTTTCACATTGGAGACAACACGGATTGTCAAGAGAGGCATTCTATTCCAAACTCTTCATCATCATCTCCAAACTACAATGAAGCCGGGTCGTTCCAGCTGAGAACCCCAGCACAATCAATGCGGCTGACACGATTCTTTTGGTACCTGGAGCTGGCGTTTTTCATTCAAATGTCGAGACACAATGAAGTCGTACTGAGGCGCAACGAGGCCAAAATGGAGTCTGATCACCCTCACGGCGCACACGCGGTAAAAGCGATCAGCTGTCTCGATAATTTCTGGTCTGAAGGTGGTGAGGACCTGAGGGGCGTGGGAAGGTGAAACTTGGGCTGTGACTGCTGTTCTTGCTTAAAGAATTTCAACGCACCTCTCGGATGTCAGGTCAAATGTTACATTGTTGTCAAATGTTGCCCCTACAGTGTACAGCAAGCTAGCGCTTCATGATATGCAGTGCAGCTCTACCTACTCACGAGATATATGAACAACGGTTCAAAATTTCCAGACTTGCTGCGTGTCACCTAAGTTGCTAAACTGGCTTTCCACCCACAAAAACGAAGTGCGGCCCGACGTTCTTTGCAAATATTGCCATCCACTCAAGTCCCAGAACTTGCCAAGCAGCCATTTGAGCATTCTTCGCATCCCGCGCGATGAGCCTCACAGATCTGACGGTTCTTGAAACCGCAATCCGTTAACCCCAACATGTTCATTGAACATGTCATGACAAAAGGCACCGACAAAACAGTTCTTGGATCGAATCGGATCCCGCTCGAACCCACGCCGAGCCTGGCCACCGCAGTGCGGTACTGCGCATCCAGCGCCGCATCAATCTCATCAAAGAGATAAAAAGGCGCCTGAGGCCGTCGAGCTACAAGTTTCCAGACCCACAAATGAGGACAACTCTGACATATAATATAAGTACAAAGATATATACACAGTATATCCCCTGGCTTTTATGGCCTGGGCCTATTACTCAAATCACCTGCAAAGACTTGTTTGGGACGTCAACATCAATGGAACAAGGCTTTGGGACTTCCCAAGCTGCATGGAGAAGCAAGCAGAACCTACACAGGTTGCGGAGCAGGTCCCAAAGCAGGTTTCGGAGCCAATTCCCGAGCCGATTCCGGGGTTTCGGAGCAGTTCTCACAAGGGGTATGCGGTTTGGGAGTGAGATGCAGCTGTAGTATGCTACGAGCGGTGCGGTGTGTATAGAGAATGCTGTCAAGGAAGACGTGTAGATACGCTGACATGATTCATAGCTGGCAGGGTGTCATGCCGGCAAGTTGTCAGGCTGTCATGCTGATTCATTGTCATGCTGGCTTGGGGCACACTAAGAAGCTAACGCTCCTAGGAGCAAAGGGCATCGCTACTAGGAGCAAGGACGCTACTAGGGGCTCCTGGCCTCGCTACTAGGAGCAAGGACGCTACGAACGGAGCTTTCGTGCTTTCGTGCTAACTTGCTGGCGGGCTTGTCGCGGTGTTGTTGTCACGCCTGCACGTGTGGGCACATTGCTGTGCTGATATGCTTGCATGGCACACTGAAAAAGTTCACACTTTGGAAAACAAGCGTGTTTAGCAAACACACACACACACACAGACCACTTGTTAAGCTTGAACACATCGTGATTTCTGGACACATTCCATATGTTGCCATTGTTTCATTGGCAAATTCATGCCCAGCTGTTGGGATATTTTCTTGGGCTTATTTCTGGAATGCTCTGGAATTGTTGTAGAATGTGTTTAAATTTTCCTGAATGTTTAGGAAACTGTTGGAATGTCTTGGTAGGTTTCAGAGAGCTTCTGGAATGATTTATGTCAACCAAAATCGGCTAAAGAGTGATGAATACCCCTATTCTAAAAAAAAATCTGGAGTATTTCTGAAGCCCATGACATGTGCAATCTTGATGGAGCTCTCTAAGACCCTCTCAGCACCGTGCTGGCTCCAGTCTTTGAATTGCGAAAATGAGGGAGATTGCCTGACTGCGGGCAATCACTCACACTCCACTCCAGGCACAAAGGAAAACAAACTTAATAAACCAAGCCACATGGAAAGCTTGCCCAAACCTCTCACAATTGTCAGACCTGGGAACCCAGCAACCACAGTCTTCTGCCCTCCAGATAGCTGTGCCATGGTCAGGAAAGAGGTCTGTTGGCCTCGGAAGCTCTTCTGGCCGAACAACTCGCATACATGAGGATATCTCATGCTCAGCCCCAAACCTGTGAAGGAGACCTCAATCCGAACTCCACGTTTTGAGCCATCATCCTGGTGGCATGCTATTGCAAAGCTTGCCAACCACTGACAAGTAAGGTGCAGGTATTGGAGTGGCTCACCAACCTCTTCTATGCGAAAGGGCCAGTGTGAAGAGAGTACAGTAACTAGCAAATGTGCATCATTAAAAAGAAACAGGAGCTTGTGATCAAAAGCGCAACTTTCAGTCAGTCCTCGCGTGGCGTCTCCTGACTATGACAAGTACACCAATACCCTGTATGACATCATGCAACACCCTCTTGACAAACCCATGATCCAGGAAAGTTGCTTGTTTCGCAGAATTATGAAGCCGCCCCTATAACTTATATAACTGTGAAAGCAACCGTCCTGGATGATAGAAGACCTTGTAAAGCTGCCAACTGTTCAGTTAGTCACCGACTTCAATCCGACCACGGTTTGTGCCTCATCCAGTACCTGGTCATTGGCATTGACCATCTGTAGTTTCCCCACACCGCCAGGCACCTGTGAGGATTGCATGACTTGTGCCGAGCCTTCTTGTGTTCGGCAAAGAAGCGTTGCTGAATCAAACCCTCTAGGCACGCAGCCAAATGAGCAAAAACATCCCGGAAGTGCATATCCTCAGCGGAAAAAACATGCAGGGAGACACCGTAACAGGTGATGAGCGGTAGTACCGCTATCAAAACCAATATACAATATATATATATATGTATAGTTATATATTTATATACTATATACAGGTGTACTTGCTTGTGATCTTTCGTTGTTCAGGTGCTGGAAACTGCCACTACAAGCTTGGCCTAGCTAAGGCTAGTGATGAGGAAATCGATTGTTTCCTCTTGAAGCTGCAGCAACAACAGCTAGGATGTATCGCCAGGATGGCTGACAAATAAAACGTTCTTGCAGGGAATGGACATATTACTATATAAGTTGTATTCATGCAACTGCCAGTTCAATTAATGTCGAGTTGTTTGTCTTTTTGGGAAACGGCACGCTTTGCTGAGCTCAAATCGACTCGTTCCAGCGTCTGCTTCAGAGTCTCATCCTTCCACAAGATTAATTGACTTTTCTCAGGCTCAACCACCAGTGACACCAGTGCCACAGTGGTCAGAGGGATGAAGCCAGAAATTGTGGATGGAAAATGAAGGATTTTCAATTGAGGATGGAAGAGCCAGAGTATACTTAGAAAGTTGAGCGTGGCTCTACCCGGCCTTCTGGGCGTCTACTGAGGCAATAAACCTGGCTTGTGCAACAAGCGGAAGCAAATATCTTCAGCAACAAACAGGATTGAAGGCATGGCACATCCAAGTTTCGGTGTCCAACATATTCCAACCATGGATTCAGACCTGCAAACAACGACAAGCATTCTACCCCTGTGCATGAATTACATTGAAACGTGGAAACTTGATTTCCATGCTGCCAACACCTCAGACCTCATTGGGAATGCATCCGCTTTTGCGTAATATAATAGATGTAATATATCAGCCCTGGAACGCTAGTCCTACAGGCAGGACACGTCCTTCTTGTTTTCTTGGTCAATTTATCCATGTTGAGAAAATGTAGAAATTGAAACTCCAAGCTCTGAAGCTCAGCCCAGAGCTAGTACTCAGTACACCGTACCATTCCGTACCATTCCGTACCATTTGCCTGAAGTTCAAAGGCCCTCCTCTTTGCGCCACAACCCCTCCACACCTTTCAACCGCTTCTCGAGACTCGTCAATGACAGCCTTCTTTGCCTGGAGCCTCAGAGTCACGATGCCTCGCATCACGTCAACAAGGAACAGAAAAAAAAGGAACGGGACGTTTTGAAAAAAAAACAAAAAGGAAATGAAAAGGTCTAAAGGTCTAAAGGCTCTTCAGACTTGATTCTCACACTGCCGTAGCTGTGTAGCCACACCCAAAGATACAAGTAATATCTCCCTGCCCAAAACTGCGGCCATCACTCTTGCAACTGATCTGTGAAGGTGGTGTACCTGGTCAGCCAAGCTGCGATATCGCCCTCACTACAGAAGCCGATGCATGTGCGTCATGCCCTGTCAATCCCTGTTGCGATTCACCAAAAGGGGCAACTCTGAAGTGTAGAGAAAAGGGGATTCCTCTACGACCGCTGTCTGCCGGTGGAAATCCCCTGAGAGACGTAAACTCGACTCACATCGCCCTTTGTTACTAGTAGCATACTTGCTACTAGTAGTAAGGCCAGGAGCTACTAGTAGCGTCCTTGCTCCTAGTAGCGATGCCCTCTGTTACTAGTAGCAAATGTTTGTCTAAAGTTGCAAATTCTATCTTGCTCACCCTGCCCGGCTCTAAATCTAGCGCACTTTTTTCATGAATGCATCTTTCGGGGTGTTTAAGGCTCCTTTCAACAATCCTCGCAGACCTTCATGAGATCGAAGTATCTCAAGGCTTCAGACTGTTTGACTTTGTGGACACATGAACCTTTATAAGAATTGCCACGTCACTAGCCCGAAGGTGTTCTATTCTCCAAGCTCCACGAAACTTACAAGGCAGATACATCTACAGTTGTCAGCATATAGAGCCTTTAATTTGGTTCTTGGCCTTGAGGAGTGCAATCAACAGTTCTCACTTCTAGCGTGAGTATGCCTGAGAGTGTCTGTGTGTGTGTGTGGGTGTGCGGGGTGCTTCTTTCTTTGATGCCCTGGAAGACAACATGAATGCCTTCGGGAAGCAACAATACGGCAAATACATCATGTTTCACAAAATGCGTCCTTGAACACTCAGCACTGGGTAGCTCCCGACTCGGCAGCAGCACATGCATTGCTCGTTTGTACGCTTGTGTGCTTCTACGTGACAAGTCGACTAACACTACAGGCAGTGCCGTAAAACCAAGCATTGATGCGAGAGTTGCTGAAAGAGGCAGGACAACACTCACCAGCCACCAGCCCTCAAGAGCCGCACTGATCAATGGCTTTCTTGTTGACGTGCTCAAATTTGCTCAGGCCCTGTCAGAACGCTGACAGCTGTTGAGTCCATTCCACTGGTCTACATCAAAGGGGTTGCCTCATCGTGTACAGACCTCCAAACAAACGCGGATGCATACTGGCCACACACCGATGCCGGAGCACGATCTGCTCCCCTATGAAAGTTCTGGCTTACGGCATATTCTGGTCCCTATGCAACGAGGTGCGTGAGCACTTCACCCAGACTGACTGACCTTGTCATGTGTGACCATGGTGCGTCAAATCCCAGCCCTGCTCAGAGTTATTGGTGGACCGACAAAAGACAGGACCAGACAGAAAATCCTTCACATCGTCACACATAAAATCCCTTGCCTTCACTTCGCTACTAGGAGCAAGGGCATCGCTACTAGGGGGCTCCTGGCATCGCTACTAGGAGCAAGGACGCTAGTAGGTTGGAGGCCATCGCTACTTGTGTTTTTTGAAATAAACTACAGTAGCTATGCTTGTCTCGTTGATGCTTCGCATGTTGAATCTCACTTTGCCTTGTTCGTCTTCTCCAGTTGCTTCATGAGCTGCTGAGGTGTCATCTCCTTGTACCTTCAGTGTCTGTGCACGAGTACAGGTCAGAACGTCCATGCTTCAGCATTTCCTATGCAATATTCCAGCTTCAAGGACAACCAATCCTCTTTGTTTAGAACAAACAAAAAAGAAGCAGGTCACAGTCGGGAAGAGGCCGGGAAGACTGGCAGGTCACAGCTTCCCAGCCCGTCGGTGGCGCACTTGGCCATGTCCGTGGAGACCACGGTCAGGCCTCGAAGCTTCTCGTCTGCATCACCCTTCCGTTTCACCAGATTGTTCACCTGGCGGAACAAGCAGCTCACCTACTTACCTGGTCCTATCTTTGTTTTTTTTCTAGACATGCCACGACTCGTCTTCCTCCAAGTTCCATTTGATTTAACTTGAACAAATCAACAAATTCATACAATATCATGTACTTTGAAAGGCGTGTGACTTCAGTTACTTCAACCGATCAGCTGCGAGTTGGCCCACATTTCAGTCTGTCTGGACTGATGTCGGGTGCCGGAGTCTGGTCGGACAGCAATGGCTAGAGTTGGAAGGGCCCCAGGAATCGTCACTATGGCAGTGAAGCTAGGAGGAAACTGTACTACCAGCCCCTGTGCATGCCCACATGACAAAGTGACCTTGACACTGAGACTCCAGCATGTATACTATGCACATATACCGGCCGGAGTTCATTCAGCATCACCAGCTTTTTCAATAGGCCAAACATGCTCAAGCAATGATGAAATGCCAGGTCAGTAAGTCAAGGTTTGGCCAATCTTTCTGACATGATCTTCTGACATGATCTTGGAAAAGGTGCCTGCTGTAGTCCAATAGCCAAACCGAGCGATAAGCCCAATATCTGACCCAGCAGCAAGAAGTCGTTAGCTTTCATTAGCGTCAGATTGTCATTGGCTACGGCTAAGGTAGGCAACATTGGCCACAATGCGCGGCTTTGGCCACATTACACGTGTCCTGCATCTTGCAGGACTTTGCCGCCTTTCCCACATAATCTCTTATGTCTTCCTGAAGAGAGCACCTTCCAGGAACACTTTCATTCTAATCTTGCTAAAGTACCATCTGTCCGTCCTGTGAAACAAGAGCACAAATGGTTGTGTTTCAGCACTCCGTCCCAAACTTCGTGAGCAAGGCGTTGCACATGGCGCCACAGCTGCGCATGCATCTACGATCTACATTAACATTGACCAGCCAAAATCCTGAAGGCTGGGAAATGAACCTGCATTTGGTCTGTCAGTCTGTCTTTCACTTCCAAAGAAAATGCTGAAATCAAGTTGGTACGTACTCCCTAGTTGTAGACTGTAGACCATCAAGATCCAAGTCATTCCAAGACCAATGCCGATAATTCGAACATGATGCACAACTTTAGTGCAGCATGTGGTTCATTTCCTCATTATTGGATTGATATGATACAGCAGTAAAAGCGATTGTTCTTTGGCAGTTCAGTACCCTTCAGTTGTTCAATATCAGTGAGATCACATGCGCGAGTCGTGTAGCAGGGAGTCAAAGCGGGCAACAACGACAGGACCACCACCACTCCGCTTTCCTGACCTTGATGGAGTCTTGCTTGGCGAACTCGGAGCGGAAGTACCACCCGAAAGAAGTGCCTCCAACTGCGCCACGCGCGTCTGTAAGGCCATTGTTTTGCCTGGTGAATGGCACTCCCACAGGTGGAATCTCAAAATTATGTCACATCAAGCAGCAAATATACACAAGGATTGCATTGGACTAAAAGGTGCCCTTCACATTAGATGGGCAGCTCCAAGCACAGTGTAGGTACAGTAGACAGGCAGTACACCGTAATTAATATGTTCCATTTTCAATTATTGCAGTAGTGCTTTGTGCTTACATCTGTGTAACAATGACACTTTCAATCCTTTCCAAGCTGTTTTTGCCATTTGCACGTTAGGCCTTCCAAAGCTCGTGCAAGCTTTTGGACAGGACGCTCTTGATTTTCATCGTCCTAGCAAGGGTGATTCCAACTGGCCAGTTATAATCAGCGATAGTCGACGTTTGGATGATTTTGAGGGGATCTAGCGGGATCGGGAACTCGCCTGGCCCCCCACTCCTCTGCTGGATCAGCTTTAAAGTCCAGCAGGAGCTGTGCCACCTCGCCATGTCCACAGCTTGCGGCGATGTGCAGCGGTCTCCGTTCAATGAAGCCCATAAAGCTACAGCCTCAGAGGCAAGACAAGCCAAACCACTTGCCCGGCTATTGTCACAGATTGACGGTCAAAACTGGAGCCTTCAACGTCCTAATGCAATTAGGCAGCGCGGGTCACACTGGTGCACTTCCAGCAAATGGCGTGCAACATTGATTCGATTGAAGTGGCACGCCATGCACAAAGTTGAATGTAGCAGTCGCTCTGTCACACTCCCTCTATCAGCCAACTTGCAAAGTCTCACAAACTCATTGAGTGTCATCATCACCTCGGCCGTCGGAGAACACCAAACGGGCAAACCCGCACATGGTTCTCAAAAAGCACCATGATCATCGGTTCTGAAACACCGAAAATGCAAATCAATCAATCAGCGAAACACTGAACATGCTGCAAATTGCAGCGTTGTTGTGGTGCTTTCAACACGATGATCTTTGCACTTCTGCGTGCACCATCTTCGTTGTTGGACTTTTTTATCGCAGCTCCAACTGTTGTTCTGGGTGTTACCTTTGCAGAAGTTACTGTTGCAATGTTTGCAAGATGAATTGATGATGCTTCTGCATGCATCAAGCTGCTGACTCCGTTTCCTTCGGCAAGTACAGAGGGGATTGGGTGTTGACCTGCGCTGTAACTAGGAACCTCGTGCGCCAAGGTAAAATCAGCAGATCAGCGCCCGCGCACTCATAGGTTTTGTTTCTGTAGTTAAAGAACAATGTTCTCTACTTGCTTTTCCCCTCCCGTCCTTGTTGTGGCTTCCAGCTTGTACACACCCTGAGTGAAGGGTTGGTTTGCGGGTTTAGTCTTATGATGTTGCCGTATGAATGTCCGAGAGGAGGACCTTACATGCTGGCTGAAGTTACGAGTTACAACCACTGCTGATTGTTTCTCTGGCACATGTTGGATCTTTCGGCCATGTGCCATCCTGGTCCTGGCCATCGGACTAGTAAACACATGTCCAGCTCCAGTATCGCCGTCTCTCCGGATTAAAGAATGGCTCCGAACACAGGCAGGGTGGGGTAATGACCCCTGTTGAACTGTCTGCCCATCTGCTGCTCCCCCAAAAAAAGGTTTAACAAACATCCAACGCAGTCGATCCTTGAGTTTCGCCACTGGCAAACTAGATTCATGTTCGCCTCCAGCCAAGATATGGGTGTCACCAACCTCTTGTCCTCTCACACACACTTCGACAATTGTATTCAGTTAACTCAGTTCCCACGCTGGGAAGGATGGCGGTGGAACAGCATGGTGAAAGGTCCAAAGACTTGAAGGTGCTTTAACATTGAGGTTTCTCATCTGCAGTGGTGCGACGACGACGCGCG